TTATTTTTATAAATTTAAATAGGAGTATGATAAATGAGTCAGCCATTGTGGGCCACCCCTAAAGTCGGAATATATATGTGAATTTGGAAGTGAATAAATCAAATCTGCCATCACTTATATGTCAGATATAATGGTAGAACCAAAGTGCTGCTAGAAAGTGCAGTGAAGTCTTATCACTTTATAGATACAGTCAGGGCAGCAGGGGCCGTCTCCAGCTGTTAGCTATACCACTATGGCTTTTTTTAAGCAATGTTACAATAGTATGAATCATATTGCTTCCATCTATGATATGAAGAGTCTGCCAGCATTTGATACAGATGTGGGGTTTGATAATCATCTTTATAAGACAAATATTAATGGTATGTCAGAATTATCTAGCAAAAAATGCATAATCCTGCCAGAAGAACTCAAACACTCCAAATTGGCAGTTTAAAAACATATATTTGATAATTCATTTATCGCTTGTCATAGTATTGTATCAAGGGTGGGTAATTCTAAACAAAAGATAAAATTCTTCGCTTTAATTGCAAAATAATACATTAAAGGTCAAAGGTGAAATCTCGCCAATCATTATAGTAATTTGTTGTCCAATTATATATAATGAAATGTAAATATCTAAATGAGACAAGAAGTCTATTGAAAAGTAAAATTGTTGATTTAATGATAAAATGACTGCCTTGTTAATATATTGATGTCTTGATTTAAGTATCCAGTTTCAGGATCCAGGAAGCAGCACCCTTATGTGGTTCTAAGGTCTACCTGTAGGAACTTGTTCTATTCCATTTCCGATAAAATCAAAGATAGAAAAAAAATTCTGCAAATTAAAGGAAATCAAGATCTGACTGAGATAAACAAGAGAATTACATGTAACATACAAAGGCTTTATACCATTAGTTACAATTCCTCTAAGGGAGAAATCTGACAATCGATACATAGCCAGCGGAGAATCTTAACCCCAATTTTTGAATTATCAAGAAGATTAGATATGCATTAAGTTTGATTAAAAACACAATAGATAGAGGTAAATTGATAATGACATGGGTTATAGCATTAGGCCTAGTCTGTTGTCTTCCTCTCTAAATGGATAGCAGCATGCTGTAAGGGGAGAAAATCTGATATTAACACATGACTGGGCATTCTGACGAGATCTATTTAGACATTAGCTCCGTGTAGAATGAAGAGGAGAAAATCTTCTATCGAGCATTTATGGAGAAATGACCTTTTTGTTGTGGTAAATTGTCTTATTTGGTGATATGAACATGTGAAATTGACAGGGTATTCCCACCTTCTTTATTCATTAAGCGGTAATTGATTTCATCTGCTCATTAAGCCCATTAAATATTCCCTCCGTAATATTCTAGATTTATGGGTTTCTATTCTATGAAAATTAATAAAATTTGATTTTTTTTTTTCGCTGTGCTCTGTAAAATGTACATTGCATTTTGAAAAGATTGATCAATCCATAATTTGTCAGCTATTATGTACTCAAATTATTTCAGGTAAATTAAACTGAGTTGTCACAAATTATGATTAATTGCTTTTGAATGATCACAAAAATTGTGATTATCTCCCCTACCTGGTCGAACAAAAATATACATAAAGTTTGTTATGGATCTGATTTCTAAACTTTTCACCTGTTAATTGAAATTGTTCAAAGAATAAATTCTGCCAGGTATTAATCACGTCTATCTTGATCGAGAACTGTACTGTTAAATATTTCATGTAGTGTCTTTTTTCAGAGGTCACCCTACCAAGTTTGATAACAATAGTATGAGTAACCCACAAGTGTAACTAAATTGTCCCCAAGTTAAAATATTGCTAGTATACACAACAAAATAAAAGGTTAACATTCTTTAGATAGGTAATTTAAACTTGTGCAAATGTAATGTAGTGTAAAACGGGTCATTGAAATATCTATAACAGGGGCATTGTAATCCGTTGATTATAATAGCCATTTACCTGCCCAAAAGTGTCACAAAAACAATCAAGTTCTTGGTTTCAAGTAATCTGTCACTGAAACTGATCATTTTGTCATTTACAAGATATTTCTACCATCAATCAGACAAATCCAGAGTGTTAAATTTCTAAATAACACAAGTTTGTGATGCAGGATACCAAGAAATGTCCCAACAAAACAAGACTTGGATGAAGGTGTCGTATTATTGACATTTGTTTTCCAGTCAATGGAGAAAGTGATCCCAAACTATTTAATAATATTAATCTATTTTGACTGTTTTACCACAAGTTTAAAATATCTGTCTATTTTTAAGTGGTAGTTTTGATACTCTTGTGATGCAATGTAATCATCCTTCGAAATAATTGCCAAAAATTGTTGGGTTTATTATTCTGTGTAAGTTAATCTGGCATGATTTGAACTAAATGACTTTTAAATTAGAAAATTACTTATCTGCTTCTTTTAATGGTGCAAAAAAGCTGCATTGTGTGTGCAGATGTCTGACATTAACCATAACATAGTTGTTGATTGAAAGTCGGGTTCACACAACCATGGGTCATCTCTCCCTTGATATCCACAGTTTACAGCCTTATCATCCATCTGATTTAACTTTAAAACAATTTTTTCTAACTTTTGTAATTATGAAGAAAGTTCTTGACTGGAGTAACAGATGTAGATAATGGATACTAATTTGAGAAAGAAAAAGAAAAAAAGTTTCTTTTATTGCAAAACAAACATGGATCTGATTAAACTATTAAAACAACAAACTCAACACCATTATGAAAAAAAACAAGTTCAATATTTTCCCATTATCTATTTGTGATAATGAAGGTATATACTTTTTTACAAAACATTCTGTTCCCATAGTTACACAATTAGTACATTTGATTGGTGGAAATGAAAGGTACTGTGACGATAATATCATTTGTCATTTGGTTCTTGTAGAACTTAAGTGAAGATCACACCAACACCGAGAGTTTAATCTGGCATCAGACTTTAATAATTTAACAAAATACAAAAATAACTATTTTTCTGACTTTTCCATCAAAACCTTGCTCCGGTAATAAGTACGGAAGAAAATTCACAAGGGACAAACAGATACTGCTAATTTTGAAGAAAACTTCTAATGGCAGGACCTGGTTGCAGGCTGGCAGCCATTTTATTAATTAAGACTCCATTAGTTGAAATGATTATTGGAATACAAGAAGTTACAAGTGTCTCAATGGCTAGCTGGTGTCCATTTTCTCCTAGTGAAGCCGTGAAGTAGCCCATTTTATCATAACTAACAATGTAAGCTTAAATGTCCAAATCTGATTTGAGTTCTGACAGAACACATTAAGAGAAATTGGTATCAAATTGGGGATCGACATTTACACTAAGGATTGACATTGCTTTTTCAGTGTTCTAGGGTGTCGTGTACCATGAATTAATTACATTATATGTATGACTCTATTAAATTTATATCTAGATTATAGTTTAAAATTTTCTAAAGAAACCGAAGTAGATATTTTATTTAAGGTATAAAATAAACAAGATATTTAGGAGGGCAATTTTTTTTTTTTTTTTAAAGTCGGTACTCAAGAAAGCTCTTACTCTTCTCAAATATCAAATAAAGTGGAAATTTCTTAAGAAAACAAAGACGTAGGAGATTATATTGGAAGTTTGGACAAGATAATATTTAGATTTAATCAGCTTCCTCAAATTCATTAAGGCATTCTCATACAAGTGTTGACTCTGAATCTGATTGTGTAAACATACAGTATTGACTTTGTTACAACCAGAAAGCAAGCAGTCTGTTTGCACATTAAGCAAGGTTTAAATTGCCCTCTGTGATACAATTAATCTGGAATGCAACATGCATAAGTTCAAAAGGCAAACTTTCACTGCTATTTGAGTAATTGCTTGATTTGTTTGATGTAATATGTATGGGTTATTAAATGATGAAGATTCAACTTGTATCTGTGTAAAAGTTTTGAAGATTTCGAATCATTGCAGCTATTTAAGTAATTGGAGAATCTGTTTGAAGTTAATTTCTTTGATATCTATCACACATACAAATGAGCAGAGAATCAACTTGGGTGTGAAAAACTTCAAATCAAGTTGAAAATTTCAAAACATTTTGTAAACATGTGAGGGTTTTCTTCACAGTTAGGCTACATCAAAATTTGTTTGTGGTTCTTCTTAAATGATGGTTTGGAAAATGGGGAGTGCAGAGACTAATATTTTTTTTTTTTGGCATTTAATTTTTTTTATTGTCCAATAAGATTTGGAATTTCCTTGTATTTGTTGTTTATATTTGTATTGAAATTTCAAGAATTTATAGGAAAAGTTTGGTTATTATTGAAAGTAGAACCATATGTGTATATCAACCTTGCCTTATTACATATTAAAGTGACTAACAGTGTTTGCTTTTGTATACAACATGTTACTTCGCATTTTGTTCCCCATGAATTCTATATTTACATCTGGGAATTGGAATAATTAGCAAAAATAAATAAAAATGAGAAGAATAATATCATTAGGGTTGTCTGCAGGGTGATGAGGAATTTAATGGCATAGGAATCCGAAAGGCTCATCAACTTGTAACTTAATCCCCTGAAAAACTTTTAATGGCTCTAAAGAAGTAATTTAGGGCAAAAGATGTTTTCACCAGCCTTCTCCCTGATCCATTTCATTTCTCAACAAACATTTATCATGAATTAAATGCATTTTTGAATGGTTTAAAGACTTTTGTCAACAATTTGAAGATAAACTGTGAAATTTGGCTAAGTTTTGGTTGTAATTTAGAAGTAAATATCTGTACTGAGGTTGATAGGGGGGGTCAGAGGTCATCTTAGTAATGAGAATTTGTCTAAATCTTGGCAAATGATGATCTAGACTCTGGTTTTTGTGTGGCGCCTCACTTGTATATCAGTCATTAATCATTCTTTAGTGACAGTTTGTCCACAATTAGGCCAAACTCAAATTATTTTGTTGATAATTAGAAAAGGCCAATGCAAAAGTAAAATTGGTTAAATGGTTAATTTTTTAATTATTTTATTTTCAGGTTTATTAATGCAAGGCGAAGAATAGTACAACCAATGATTGACCAATCAAATAGAGCAGGTAAGATTGAATATGGTTGTAATATTTGCCACTGCACATTTCAGAGAACAACAATTAGTAGATATTATTTCCCTTTAAATACAAAGTTTTGGTTTTTTTATTCCAAAATATTGTTTATGGAATTTATTTTGTTATTATAGATATCTATTAAATTTTTTTCACTGATAACCAAAACATTTTTACTGACTTGATATAAAATTCATTTGATGCTTGTTTTAAATTTTAGAATGACTTAAAATGTAAAAATTTCATTGACACTTCTCCCTCTGTTTGGATTCAAACTTTCTGGTACCTAAATAAATGAAAAATTTCTATTTTCATCCTAATGGCCATTTAATTGCCTAGCTTTAAGGATTAAAAATTATTGTGACTTGCAGATTTCCAACTTGACAAAAGAATATGAAAAAAAATAAACACGAAAATTATGATTTCCTTTTCTTAATTAAAATCTAATGTATATTGTTTAGTAGGTATAAAAATGACGGAAATGAAATGAAGACATTTGTCATTATTACCACATTACCAACATATTCTCTGTAAAATTCATGACACGGTCATTTTGGCATGTTGCAAGCGAAACAATAAACCATTGTATTCTTACATAATATCAAACCCATAAAAACATCAACTGTCAAAAATATGCAAATAAGAGAAAAGTATTAACTAATTTACTTCCTCCTGCATGTTCCAGTTATATTTATTTAAAAACCTTAAATATTTAATACATAATTCATAAAGCATTTAGTGCCTTCTAGTATAGTGCAGTTTGATGCCTTTTATTGAGGAACAAAACTTTTTTATGCCGTAATAAAAATATTAATTTTTGTCGTATTTGTTTCTGCGGAACTTCAACAGTTTATCGCATAATAATTAGTAGCTAAGTGTTTTATAAATATATGCAAACTTGCTTTTTATTTTCCTTTCTATCATTTTCTCACTTGTACACTGATATTTTTTATCTACATGGCTATTTTCGCCTGGTATTCTGATATTTTAAAAAGCTATTTAACACAAAATTGGCATATATCATCAGCAATTTAGTTTTCATCTGCTGGTTGTTGTTAATTAGCTCTCTGTGAGCAGTCTAAAGGTAAAACTCTGAGATGAAACTTTTATCTTTGGTGGCATGGCTCTTATGCAAATTGCATTTCTTTTAAGCTTGTTATTCTTGACAGAATCTCACATCTCCTGAGGAGAGAAAATCTTTCCAATTGAAATTCCTCTTCCTTCATAAGGAGGGTCTATAAGTGTGTACTAAATGGTTTAAATGTGATCTAGATGTACCTCTAAGTGTTCCCTATCTGTTTTCAGTTTATACAAGGCCGTTCTTTGTTTCACATGCTGTTAGTAAGATATTCTCAAAAAACCTATGTATAAGCACCATTGTTCGGCAATAAAAGTTTTTTTGTTAATAGCACTTTAGGTTCAAAACAATGATGTTTATTTTGTAGAATTTCGAAAGAATTACTAGGATCTGTAAAGCTTCTGACCACAAATATTTGATCTATTGAATTTTTAAGTACAAAATAATTATACTGCATGTATTTTCTTTACAAAACAGCTGTTTATAAAGATAAATGCAATAAAAAGCATAATCATTGTCTTTATCTTTTCAGCACCAGGAGGTCATGGGTATAGTCCAGAGAGTATGGGTTGGGATAGCCAGGCCATGGCACATATGAGTCCTCACAGTAAGTAGTTATAAGTTCATTGTAAATATTTTGTACTCTGATAAATTTAAAGATCAGTAGAATCTTAATGTGTTCATCTCAAATTTTCATCTCAAGTTGAGATTAATTTGTTAATCACAGATTAGGCTTAATGGTTCATCACAGGTTAAGTTGATTTGTTCACAGCTTAATTTTGTTAAGTTCACAGGTAAAGTGTAATTTGTTCACAGCTTAATTTTGTTCAGTTCACAGGTAAAGTGTAATTTGTTCACTAGTTAAAGATAACGTTAAGCTTAATTCTTTCAATGGATAAGCTTATAGAAAACCAACAATGTATATAATGGTTAAAAAAGGAAATCTTCTGAGATTGAATTTGAAGGAGACAGCAAACCTTAAGGCAAGAAATAAAAAGAAGTCATTTTGTCGAAGTTCTATATACTTGCGGAAAAAAATGAACAAGTTCTGTTTCATATTTGCCTCAAAAAAGCAAATCCAATATATATAGCAATGCATAGACATATAGTGCTTATTTTAGTTTTTTTTTAAACAATGAATTACATAATAACAAATATTAATATTATTTTCCATTTTTAATTTCAGTGTTCCAAGGAAGACATGGTAGTGAAATGTATGATCAAATGAAGGGATATTCTCATATGGATGGACAAAGATACGATATGCTTGGAGTTCAGGGTATGCATAGTAGTGACATGTTTGGAAGTACTGCCGTCACTGGCAGTAGTTCATATTCTCAGATGTCACAATTACGACCACCAGTTCATTCGCAAGCAATGCTAATACCAGGGCATCCGCATCATATGATGATGGGACATGGAGCCCACGGCATGAGTCCCATGTCGATGGGATCTGCTCAAAGTCCTCCATTACATGGCAGCTTGGACAGTATGGGTGCACACATTCAGGATATTCATGCTGGATAAAATCAGGAGTAAACTTTGTGCTTTAAAAAGAACAAGACAATTGGCTTGCCTGCGAACATAATTAAGCCAAGGAATAAAGCGTGACTAAAGTATTTGTGGGTACAGTAGTTTAAAACTACAGCCTATTTTATTACAATCACGGTGATCTCTCAATCATTAAGCAGTCACTCATTGTGTGGAATCTAATTCCTAACGGTTGCAGGCTAGCCAATGGAAGTAACTGGTTTGCTAGTCAATCTACAGAGTAAGGGAGTCGACAACTGACTGCAGTTTTAAAACTAGTCTTCACAACTTGTTATAATGGGATATGGGGAAAACTACGCAAAAGTATTATTAAAAAAAAACGCAGTTCATGTTGACAATGAGTTGCCAAGTATTATATATGTATTTTGTTGTCTCTGGACAAGAAACATGTCTTGGTCACATATGTGCCGCATACCTCATGATGATCAAAATAAATGTACATTTGAATGGCCATGACTTTGTAAAGCATTCCACGTCAAAGTATGTTCTGTCAAACATCAACTCTTCAGTTGAAGGAATATGTTTTTGTGCCATGGAATATTTGAATTTTTTGTCACATGACATTGTTAACCAATCAGAAGAGTTACCCTGTAATGGGGTGACCAATTAAATTAAAGCTTTAAGATTTACCTCATTATTATTCCTTTGTAATTATAGCCAGTTCCATTGTGTTGGAAGTGGACATTTTATTTAATGGTGCATGTTAAAAAAAGTATTTGGTGCATATTATTTGTATAGTAAAGATGTTTGTTGAATGTATGTTATATATGTTATTGTGTATGAAAGCGAAAAATCATTATTTGGAGAGTTTTTCTTTGTGTGACATTTTTATACTTTCTGGCCAGGCTGTTTAGATCTACTTGCAGTTTAATTTGTAAATGTTTTGTTGTTTTTGTTGAAGTTTGTTTGAATATTTTTTTTAGATTGAACAAATTTTAAGCTTGATATTTATTCGACCTGCCAGATTTATTTTTTTTTTTTGATAATTAACCAATTTGTTTTTGGTTTGTGATTTGTTACAGAATGATTTTTTTGTTTTTTTTTTTATCTAAAAACAAGTACTAAGTTATTTCTAAGTGCTGACCGTTTATTTATGTTTTTAAAAAATGTTAAAGTGCAGATTTTAAACTGGCATGTAATTACTACATGTGTATTTAATTGTAAAGTAATATTAATGTCAGAGACTGCTGAAATCTTTCCTTTATCTTTTTGTACTGATTTTAACTAGAGAAAGACATATTTATATGTATATCTGTAGCAATTATTTTAGATTGTTTCAAGATGTCGGATATTACATTACTTTACTATACTTCTTTTATGATTCCCCAATAAATATATATTTACATTTTTTATCATTTCAATGCCAGAATGAACAAAAAATAACTGAAAAAGATGTATCAAATTTTCAGAAAATCTTAGACAATCATGCACGAGTTTACCAAAAATACACTGAAATTGATTATTGTCTGAATGTGTCTGATTATGAGGAAATGTAAGATTGCAATGATGTGTGTGGTGATGTGTGGAGCTGAGCTTGATGCTTAGGGACTTGTGAAAAATTTTAGGGAATTTTAATACGAGATTGTCAAATATTTTGAGCAAAATTCCAGAGAAATAAAAATTGTTGTAATAAACTAAATGCTTGTGTTTTATTATGTTTTTTGTCCAATATGTTCCTGTCATAAGAAGAGGCTGAAGTTACCAAACTTGTAAGTCAAAGAGAAATTAACAATGCCATGTCAACAAAAAACAAACAACAAGAAACAACTACAAGACAAACATGTCAACAAAAAACTTCATAGAAAAATAAATTGGCCTTTAGTATCAAAATCATACTTGGTTGAAATGAAAAGGAAAAAAGAATTCATGTCGACAAATTTTCCTTGATAGATAAAATTTCAAATCATTAAAAAACAGATTCGCACTTGTAGAAACTGAAGATTGAAGATTTGAAAGATGATAAAAATGATCAGTCAAATATTTGATTTTTCCATGATTCATATGGTACCAAAACTAGTTCAGTGAAAACTTTCTGAGTCCGATTTTTCTTCATGGTTTCTTTTATCATATAGATATATAAAGTACATAAAAAAGAGGCAAAGAAAATATGAATTTAAGTCTCCAAAATTTCGATTTATTCTGAGGATTAATTATGAGTTTGTATAAAATCACGTAGACAGACATGTGTCAAATAACTAAAGAAAAAAGGATTTTTCTTATATAATTTCATGCAATTTGTATTTTTGTTCTTGAAATTTAATGACATCTTAAACGATCCTTGTATTCTTTCTCATTCACTAGTTAATTTCAAACAGAAAAAAACATTTTTTCCACTCCTCATTCTCTTAGTACATAGCAATAACTGTTCTCTCCCATTTCTTGTCTATGAATTTTAGAAAAGAAGATTTATGCGAGTTGTCAGATTTTAAGAATATGTTGACATATTAAATATATTTTTAATTTTCATTTCGACTAAGTTAGAATTGAGTTTTTAGAATGAACAATTATACTTTAAGAAATTAAGATAGAAAAAATACTGTGTGATTTAATTGTTCCATCCATCAACAAAATTAAGTACCTAATGAAAAACATATTTCCATTGAGTCAAAAAGTGTTAATTTTACATCTACAAATTTAAAACATCACAAACCAACAATGGTTACACAACTATAAAAATTGATACCCATGAAGAAAAGCTTATCCCTAGTAGTGCTTTTAACCACCGTACATTCAGTATATACCTTGTATATACAACTGAACTAAAACAAAATGAAGGAACAAATAATATACAAATAGCAAAATATACACCAAAAAAAAAAAAAAAAAAACAATCTTTATTGACCATTTAAAACCGGGTGCTCCATTATCCAAGGAGGAATAAACAAGAACAAGATTGCAAATATCAAATATGAATAGATGGTCAAAAGAACATTTCACAAAAACAAACTGATTTCAAATGTAAAACTACAAAATAGGTAGTAACCTTGATGCACTAAATGCCTGTTTGAAAATTTGTTTTTATTAGTGTGTGCAACTAAATATTGAGATTATCAATGAGCAGTAACATCAGAATAACACTTTTTAAAACAACAAAAACTTGCTAGAAAATACAGTTGGATTACTAGAGTTTAACAAATTTTAAATCTTTTTTTCTATAACCAAAATTTCTCAGCTATACTACGAATACAATTAAGGTACAAAAGGATTTGCAGAAGGCCCTACATTGACCTATAGTTGTTAACTTTTACCTCATTTGGTCTTTGGTGGAGAGTTGTCTCATTGGCAATCATACCACATCTTCAGATTTTTATATTGATGTCTTTTTTGTTTTTTGTTGGCATTTGTTCCAAATCTGCTTTTATTCATGCATGACTACCAGGAAAATGAAATTCCATATCACAAATTTTCATTGAACACATTTCTTGAAAACAAACTATATATCATAATCTACATCAGGCTTATATCCTTGAATTAGGACAAGTTTTCAACAAGACAGTGATCTTAAATTTGATAACAGTCCATCATAAAAATGATACTTTCTTAAAAGTGATTATTGGTAGTACTCAAATTCTACAACCATATGAGACAACATAACTTTAAATTGTAGGAAATGTATCATAGGAAACGATTTTGTTGCTTCTCTTCATTGTCACTTGCTAGAAGGTTTGGAAAAAAATCAAGATGGCTCTAAGATACAATGTTGCCTGCTGATTTTAAAAATCGACTGAGAGCTTAGTGTCATTCGAATGTTTCCGTCGTCACTTTGGTGTTTTCTAGTCAATACTCCCTTATTTTTGTAGTCACTCTGATTTATTCGTCTTCACTTTAGTGTATCATGTAGTCACTATGGTGTTTTCTGCAGTCACTCTGGTGTTATCTGTTGTCATTCTATTGTTTTTGCCGTCACTCTGGTGTTATCTGTTGTCATACTATTGTATTTTGCCGTCACTTTGGTGTTGTGTATTATTACCCTGATGTAAATTTTCTGTAATCACTCTCATATATCTGATCATTCAGTAGCCATACTGATCTTCATGTAGACGCTTTTGACATTTTTGTCGTCATTCTTGTGTTTCTGTCAACACTGGCGTGCCTATGGCCACTTGGAGTGCTATCTTTAATTCTCATAGTGTTTCCTGTAACCTGGTTTCCAGAAATTGGTGTTTTCTTAAATGTTTTCTATTGTTGCCCTGATGTTTTGTTGGTAGGTTGGCAGTTGTATACAATAGTGCATAGTTGTCAGTGTTCTATGGCGTTTTGGTGGCTTTTCTATGTAAATTGTTGTTTGTTATTGTAAACTCATGTTTTGTTCAATTTATCACAGCATACCGTTGTGTTGGAATGATGTCATTTATCCATTTAGATTCATAGAGTTGGTCGGAGTTCTTTCAACCATAAGTGTTGTTGTCAGTAAAACATTGATCACAGAATTTTGGATGACCATTGTGGCGTTGCAAGATTGTTTTGTGTCAACTCTGGTAAATAGTGTTTTAACATCCACTGCAGTTTCTTGTATTTTGCTCTATTGTACACTTTATATTCGTATGTATTGTGAATTTACACTTCATTAGTGGTAAAGCTTTATCAGATTTGTCAATGTCTACTATATATAATTATGAGGTTTGTGAATATCCATTGTAGTTTAACGGATTTCTCAGCATTCACTGTAGAGTTATTAGAATTGTTAGTATCCGCTGTAGTGTTTTGAAATTTGTCAGTATCCAGTGTAGTGTTATCAGATTTGTCAGCATAAACTGAAGTTTTCTCGGATTTGTCAGAATAAACTGCAGTTTTCTCGGATTTGTCAGTATCCACTGTAGCATTATGAACATTCTAAGTATCCACTGCAGTAGAATAGATAAAGTTATTATCCACTGCAGTATAAGTTTTGTCAGCATAAACTGCAGTTTTCCAGAGTTGTCAGTATCAAATGTAGTGTTATCATACTTGTCAGTATCCTGTGTAGGGTTATCACATTTGTCAGTATCCTGTGTAGGGTTATCACATTTGTCAGTATCTACTATAGTGTTATCAGAGTTGTCAGTATATACTAATGTGTTATCAGAGTTGTCAGTATTTACTGTAGTGTTATCAGGGTTGTCAGTATCTACTGTAGGGTTATCAGAGTTGTCAGTATTTACTGTAGTGTTTTCAGAGCTGGCAATATCTACTGTAGTGTTTTCAGAGTAATCAGCTTCCACTGTAGTGTTATCAGAGTTGTAGGTTTCTATTATAGTGTTATCAAAGTTGTCAATATCAACTGTAGTGTCATCAGAGTTGTCAGTATATACTGTGTAGTGTTATAATGGTTGTCAGATTCCACTAAAGTGTTATTAGAGTTGTCAGTATCCACTGAAGTGTTATCAGAGTTGTCAGTATCCTCTGTAGTGTTATCAGAGTTGTCAGTATCCTCTGTAGTGTTAACAGAGTTGTCAGTATCCACTGTAGTTTTATAACATTTGTCTGTATCTACTGTAGTGTTATCAGGGTTGTCAATATCCACTGTAGTGTTATCAGAGTTGTCAGTATATACTGTAGTGTTATCACGGTTTGCAGTTTCCACTGAAGTGTTATCAGAGTTGTCAGTATCCTCTGTAGTATTTTCTGAGTTTTCACTACCTACTGTTGTGTTATCAGAGTTGTCAGAATCCTTGGGAGTGTTTTCAGAGTTGTCAATATCCCAGTTATGTTATCAGAGTTTTCAGTATCCTCTGTAGTGTTATCAGAGTTGTCAGTATCCTCTGTAGTGTTAACAGAGTTGTCAGTATCCTCTGTAGTGTTATCAGAGTTGTCAGTACTCACTGTAGGGTTATCAGAGTTGTAGGTATCTACTATAGTGCTACCAGAGTTGTAGGTGTCCATTGGAGTTTTATCACAATTGTCAGTATCTAATGTAGTTTATCAGAGTTGTCAATATCTACTGTAGTGTTATCATAATTTGGTCAGTATCTACTGTAGTGTTATTAGAGTTGTCAATATCCACGGTAATGTTATCAGAGTTGTCAGTATCCACTGTAGTTTTATGACATTTGTCTGTATCTACTGTAGTGTTATCAGGGTTGTCAATATCCACTGTAGTGTTATCAGAGTTGTCAGTATATACTGTAGTGTTATCACGGTTGTCAGTTTCCACTGAAGTGTTATCAGAGTTGTCAGTATTCTCTGTAGTATTTTCTGAGTTTTCACTACCTACTGTAGTGTTATCAGAGTTGTCAGAATCCTTTGGAGTGTTTTCAGAGTTGTCAATATCCCAGTAATGTTATCAGATTTGTCACACGTTTAACCAACTTTCATGTCTATTGTTCATGTTATGTCATATTAGTGACTTTCTAATTTATAAATATATATATTGAATAGAGTATTTGCAATTATATAGGTTTATAAATAGCTACAATTAAACACATAGTAATGACAAAAGAAAATAATAAAGGTATCCACAGATACCAGTATATATATAAAAGGGCAAATTATTTACTGTCAAATCTATCATTTCATTGTATATCTATTTTAACATATCAATAACCAGTCCTTGTGTTATTGACACAATCGATAATCGACTGTTTCGTTAGTCTAAGGATTATCGCCAGATAAATTAAACATCGGTCATTGTGTATTTGGCAGCTATGGCCGTAGATAACG